TTTTTTTTTTTTTTTTTTTTTTTTTTTTTTTTATCACGACCAACTGTATGATGTTACGCGTGTAAGTAATAGGTCAAGAAGAGTCAAGGTCAACATTTATTGTACGTTGGCATGTTAAGTAATAGATCAAGAAGAGTCAATGTCAACATTTATTGGACGTTGATATGTTCTTAAAGAAATCTATTTTTAGTCACGGACAATTATGTTGTTTGTTTCGCATGTAAATAATAGAAAAGTGTTGAAAATATTAGTTTGTGGGGACGACGAGTTACTCAGTTATTGAACAAATAATATTGTGTACAAGAAAGTTTAAATAATATATTTTTTGCATGAGGAACATTTTATGGTTTGATAATTTTCCTACGCATTATTACTCTTTTATTTATTAATACATTTTAATTTTTAATATTCTCCAAAGTAAATACAGCCCGTATATCGCACGGGTTACATACTAGTTATATAAGTATAGATAGATCAATTAGCAGTTATATGCTAAAAATTCAAAAAAATTAAATATTAAACCCTAAACCCACATCACACCTCATGTATTTTCCCGAAACGCAATAGTTCTGTTTGAAGACGTTGATTTGCCAATTGTCAGGGCTATAGCCATGGCGGACATGGACCTGGACGATCTTGACGATGGCCCAAGCAAGGCCCCGAGCCGACCATCTCGGTTCGCGCCCAAAGGCTCCAAGTTCAAACCCAAACCCAAAACCGAACCATCTCAATCACTGCTCCCGTCAGCATCAGAGTCGGGGGAATCACTGCCTGCACCCAAGAAAGAGGAACTTGCTGTTAAGCCCGAAACCAAGCCCGGCCACACGAATGATGTAGTTGAGATGGATTTTGATGTGAAGCCAGCCGTGAAGGATCAAGAGGAAGGCGATTCAATGGAACTTCCAGCAGCGGAAGCTGAAAATGGGGCTGAAGATGAAGTAGTTCGTGAAATCGACGTTTATTTTGCTCCTTCTGTTGACTCCAAAACTCGGGTAGATCACCAATGTTTCATTTCTGCAACTTCATTTGGATTTTAAGTTACGTCTAATTTCTCAATATTGATGATGAAGCTTTACAAATTACTCCGAGGCATTGTTTCTTTTTCAGCTGTATGTGTTGCAGTATCCGCTGAGGCCGATATGGAGGCCATATGAATTGGATGATAGGTGCGAAGAGGTATGCTTCTATACTTCAAATTATTTTGACAACGTTAGTGTAATTATTTTTACATAATTAAGAATCTGTTTCGAGCCAAGTTGTGAATTCTGTAACTCGAATGCTTTGTGGTTTCATAATTTAGGTGAGGGTGAAGCCAGGAAGTACAGAAGTGGAGATTGATTTGTCTGTTGATGTCAACTCCAAGAATTATGACTCAGAGGCTGATCCCAGAGTGCAGATGACGAAGCAGGTTCGTCATTGGGTTATTTCTCAAGCAAATGATTCACACCGGTTTGATAAACTTAACTCAAATACCGAAACTTGGAAGCACTGAAAGTGAACTTTACAGTCAGAAACCTGAGATTAATCGATTGCGTGAAGTGCTTAGGACATATTCTAAGTTCTTCATAACTACTTGAATATGCTGATCTCACTGTCGTCATTGTTATTGCCTTTGTAATTTCCCAAACTTTCTTTTATAAATTTCAGTCATTTTTATTTAGTTGACTGCTTTTCTTTTTCTCCTTTTTGTGATCAATCCACGTCATACAATTGTTTGTTTTTTTGAGCTAGACTCTTACTTCTTCATGGAAGCCACCCCGCGTAAGTGGTTATGCTGTTGGAGTACTCACTGGAAACAAGGCATGTTATTTCATCTCCTTATGGAGCAGTTTATTTCTAGTTTCTGACATCTTTGCTCAAAGATCCTTAAGGTTTCTTCAGTGGCTGGAGTGAATGTAAGTGTTCTGATCTTGTTTCCTTTATTTTGTTGTGCAGTTACACTTGAGTCCTGTTCAGGCAGTTGTACAACTCCGGCCATCTATGCAACATCTTGGTTCTAGGGATTCTGGAAGGACTGTTGAACCCAGTTCTTTTGATAATAAAGTGAAGTTAGAAGAGCCCGAGGCAGGAAAGACTTCTTCATCAAAGAAACAGGTGGTTATCTGTCTGTTCCTTGCATGCTATTTGTTAACAATCTGATTACCATATAATATCAGCTTTGCACTTCCATGTTTCAATTGTTACATGAATAAAGAAATTGATGAAAGGATTACCACACCCTACCCTCTGTTGTGAAAGGGTTGCTTCCTGACCAATGAATCCTGACAGAGGTTTAAATATTTTCTTCTGATGACAAGGCGCATGTCATAGCTTTCTTTCTTCCAAATTCATTAATACTACTGCTATTTCCGTTCATGCATCTAATAATTTGGTTGGAAGTTTTGCTTAAGTTATCACTATAAGATTTTTTATTGTAAAACTGATTCCTGATTCCTTACAGAGCAAACCTTCGGAGCAGAGTCAGCTGGCTGGTAACAAGGAAGAGGTGTGGAATTATTATGTTGACTTTTCACTATGATAATTTCTATTTATGCATTCTCAGTCGTCCCAACTATGTCACGCTTTAAAATGTTTGTACTTTCTATGCATAGATATCTGATAGCTGAATGGTTCACTTATACTACAGCTATGTTAACAATCTCAACACTTGATTAGTTGTAGCTATTTTCATATCATATAGTTTTGATTTCTGCTTCTATCCTTAAGCTAAAACAACTACTTTACAAGTTACAACTATCCGAGGAAATGTTACTTCTTAAAAACTCTGATCTTTCTGCTTTCAGAATTGTACATTAATATTTTGTAAGGTGTACTTGGTTGTAATTGAGTAATGGGCTTGGTTAATTCCCATAGGCGTTTCATGTTATCTATTTCACATATGAGGCCCCATAACCTGTTTGTTTGATGTTTGATAGTATAATTGTGATAGTAAATCATCTGTTTACTCTTCATCAGGAATTACATATTACAATTTGCGCCATCCGTGAACTGCTAATTAAAATCTGCATTAAAATCTTTATATATTCCAATTTGCGCCATGTATGTAAGTAAATTTAGAAGTAAAGTAATGATAGATTAAACATCCCTTCCGTTAGGTGGCACATGGTATAGTGGAGAAGCTTGATAAAAAAATCAGGCCATAACTCATTTCGTTGTCTTCACATGCTGGAACCAAACATACTAATCAGATGGAAAGTCTTGAAACTGTGTGTCTTTGTAACATCATGCATAGAACCCCCAACCAAATGCACCCTTTATGATTATTCTTATCTGAGCATTTATTTCTCTTACTACTTTAGGGTATGCAAACAAGTTACTGTATATTTGGTACATGTTTCACTCCTTTTCTACACTCCTTTTCTGGAATATACTATTTTGTTGTCTATGGACTTTTGATTATCTTAGTTATGCTGCATTTGTTTTGTTCAGTATTATAAGGACAACTTTTTAGGCAAGATTTAATGCAATTTAGCTGATTGCTTATTCCTGTTTCCTTGATATTTCAGTTCTATTTCTCTGCTTTCATTCGTTTCTTTTCAGAGCTGGATTCCTCTCAAATACCATAGTGCAAGTAGTGAGATGGCTTTAAAATGCCTACAAAGAATGATGTCACGGCAAGAAGGCTCACAGATTGAATTTTCCATGAGCTCGTATGCATTTATATGCCACTGAATCCAATCATCAAAAGATGTTTAATTAAGTTATTCTACCTTCGGACATTATCTAAGCTTGTGTACTGATTTATTTCCTTTTACTTGGATATATATATTTTTAGGTATGACTATCTGAATAGCTTGTGTCCTGGCACTTCTAGTGACAGTTTCAGTTCCAAAGGGCCTCCAATAAGGTAACCAGGTTCATTGCTGAAGATAGTTTGTAGATTTTCATCTTCTAGTTCATTTACAAGTATACAAGTGATGAATATAGTGCGTGCATCTGTTTGTAATAAATATCTTTTATGCATTCACTGGTCTATATTCACCTAGATTTTTTATGTTCTGGTGCTTACTAGTTACAGTTACAATTAACGAGGATCTGCACATTCATTTTTTATCCTTTCCTCAGTGCTTTGGCTGATGAAAGCATATCTTAGTAGAGGGATTCATTTAGAAGCAAAGTGCTGTATTACTACTTTCTAGTGTATCTCTTACAGAATTATAGTCTCGGAAATCTGAATGAAAATTGAAAATAAGTTTTCCCAATTAATATGAATTGAAACAACTTTGCTTGTTGATATTTTTTGTTCTTTTTTTTTAAACAAAACTGGACAAGTGGACATTTGAATATTTTCATCTGTTTTTCTCTCTCTTATTATTATTATTATTATTATTATTATTATTATTATTATTATTCCTTCCTTCCTTTTTTTTTAATATTATAATTGATTACTTTACACACATGCACTTGTATTTTAGTACATGTCAATTCCTTTATACATGCTCCAGTAATTACATCATTAGGAGCAAAATCAAAGCTTCTCTTGTTCTCCATTGCATTTCAACATAATACTTATATAAAAACATCTGCAGTATAAATCCTTGTTCTTCTGAAGTTGACTGGTTCTGGTTGGATGGACGAAGGATATGACTTCACATGGAGTTTGTGAATCTTTTAACCTCCAATTATAATATATTTTCTCTGTTGCATGATTCAGTCCCTATAGCTAACTTTTGATGAGGATCGGTTAAATGTTTATTTTTTATGCTTTCTTGTTTGCATCAATATACAATCATTCACACCTATCTAGTGAGCAATGTGCTAAAAACATTCTATATTTGTAATTTTTTTTGTCATTATAATTGTACAAGCATTACATGAACACAAAAATAAAGTCAAATTCTAAATAAGCTAAAAGAGTACCATGATCGAAAAAACTATGGCAGTTGATTAAAATGGAGAACTTTAACTCTTGGGATCAAATTTGAAACCCTTGTACCCATTTCTTGAGATCTTTCACTAAGTGGAATCCAATTTGAGATTATTTCATCAACCATGTTTCTTATGTGCTCTTTGCATCTCATCATTTGCTTGACCTGTAATGTGAATATGTGATAAAATTTGTGTCGCGTACATGAAGTCATATTTATATCTGCATTATCTTCTCAATGCGCTTAAACTTACGACTCTTTAGATGCTTTCTCCCGACTTTATCACATGCAACATGCCTGTCGATAGATTTTTTTTTTTTGGTCGTTTGTACTGTGGATTATGGAAAATTATCTTATCATTTGTATGTTTCAGGTTCTTGCTGACTTTACCACTTAAAGAACGGTTTAGAACATGGTTCCTTGAGGTTTGTGTCGGACACCTTGCATTTTTGTTTTCTTTCTTTTTTGTTTTTGTTTTTATTTTTATTTTCTTTTGTGTGTTTTGGGTGAAACATTCTACTATTTGTGGACAGACATATTGCTTATTAATGCATTAATCAAACATGTGTCCACATTTCGGTTAGACTGCCACATAAATTGTTAAGTATATACTGTTATGTATATAGAGTGTGTTTAGTAACCACAATAAGTTAGATTATAGCTTATTTGGTTAACTTATAAGCTTCCTTTATTCAAATAAGTTTGGTAGAACCAACTTTTTTAAATAGCCCGAGCTTATCTCATAAGCTTTCTTGGGTAGCTTTTCAAAATAGCCTGGCTTATCAGCTAATTTTACCAAAACGTTTTTATCATATAAGCTAACTTTTTAGCTATAAGCTATAAGCTATAAGCTATCAACAATAAGCTCTTTATTCACTTATCAGTTATCAGCTAGGTTTATCAAACTAGCTGTAAAAGAGTTGAACCTTCTCTGTAAGTCTTTAAATTCAGAGGCCACTAGATCTTCCTCGTTATTTCCTGTCACTTTCCATCTCAGATACTCATGTCAGTATGTCTTTAAGAAATACAATGGTAATATTTTTTTCTGAAATTCAACAGGGTCCTTCATTTCACAGATTCAGTGCTCTGAAACACTTGGCCCCTGACAATTCGGTTGAAGAAGTTTTGGAGATTTTGCAGGAATATGCTCGATTAGTTCAAGGTCTTTGGACTCCAAAAAGTCATTTGGTGTATGGAACAGATTCAGGCCCTGAAGTTATAGCGAGGGATTTTGTTCTTCGTAAATTTAGCAAGAGTGTCACTATGAAAAAGAAAGAAATACCTCGGCAAGTTCAAATAGCAAACCATGTGAAAGAGATCCTAAAGTCATTGGCTGTAGAGAGGGAAGACTTTTTTAACGATTGGAAGCTTAAAGAGCTCCCAGATTTGAGTTTCATAAAATCTTATCCGTCCATTGTGGAGAAACAAGAGAGAGAGTGGGAACGCTTGGAAGAAAAACTTAGTCGTGTTCTTCCTGATACAAAACCTGCGCCTACTAAGAAGTTAAATACCACCAATAATCCATCAACATCAAAAAGTTCCGGTAAAGTAGTTTCTAGGGCTCCAAAGGGAGGAGCTGCCATGCCTGAAGAAGTTCGGGATGCTGTAACAAAAGCACTTCAGAAACTTTTCAAAACTGTCAAGATTTGCAGGTTAATTACTCTGTTCTAAGTTTGTATTTTCAAACTCTTGAACAAATAGTAGATGTTTAATTTTCAATTTAAGCTTGGTTTTGTCGTGTCACGGAATATCCTTTATTTTACTGCAGTTTTCAACAAATTAGCCAGCTGCTAAGGGATATGGCAGTTTCGGAGTCCGCACGTTCAACGGGATTTGCTAGAGAGGCAGTAACTGCAGCAAACAGTATTGATGCTTATCCAGATGAGCTTCAAGCTATAATAAATCAAATAGCTGTTAATATTCATGGTATTTGTGTTCCAAAATCATCCCCGGATTGCCCACAATATGATTCATTTCGGTCAGATTTATGTTCGATATCTTTTTTTTTTCCTTTTTTTTTTCTCTTTGTTTTTTACCACAAAGAACATGCTAAAGCCTTTTGCAAATAATTGATACTTGGTATGCTGCAGGAAAGTAGTTATTGATCTTTTTATTGCTCAAGGACCAAATGCTAGACTCAGAAAGGCTTCCATAACTGAGGCTGCTAGGATGGAACTTAAAAGGGAACCATCTACAATTGAGTATGATAAGGTACTCATGCTAGTCAAACTTTTGATGATGACTCAAGTGGGCATCTCTTTAGTCCAGGAGCGAAGCATTATGATGAAGTTTAAAACCTATATCAGATTTTTGTTTAATCACGAACTTAACACTTAGCTACAGTTTCTGTCCTTGATAACATGGTGAAGTGTTATGAGATTGCAAGGGCATATATGTTGTGCGTATGTTCTTTAGTACCGGCAGGATGTGAGATGTTGTAACATTCTTAGGGTTCTCTGTAAGTTAATGGTTAAGCTATTAATTATTTCAGTGATATATTTTAACAGTAGCCTTTCACTGATCTGTTTCTCATATTTCAAATGGCTTTTGTCATAAATCCTTAGATAAAAAGGAGCTATAGCCTTGGTAGTAGTATATCTGATGAAATTAATGTCTGATATAGAAAAAGAGTTCGAAAGTTTTCTGTCATGTGATAAAGATAACTGTAAATTGTTTAAACAGAATTGTGTTCAAGCTCTACATATTTTTTCCTGGACGTACCCTTACTTTCCTCAACAATTGTCATTAATGAGCTCTTTATGTGTTTGCTCGTCTAAATTGTGATGCTTCTTAGACTGGCCTTCAGTATGATGCTTTGAAGCTATATCAAAGTCTGCAAGAAGCGACCTTGCAGAATTGCTAATTCCGATTTGTTCTTTTCTATGTATATCTTGCTAATGAGATTAACTCCCAAGAGTCCTCTGTGTGACTGTGACCTAATAGCACTTAAATGAGATACTGTATTTATTACATTTTGTTCCTAACGTCCTCGTACCATTTTGTTCAATTGTTTTCTTGTGTGTTCGTTTTTAATTTGTTTGGCAGGTTGTGAAGGAACTGTGTTTGTCTCAAGGCTCTGGATGGACACTGAAAACTGGTGGTGGAAATCCAAAGCATTAGAGTTGAAGCCATCAAACTAGTAAAGCAGTAGATGAGGTACTTACTATTTAGTCTTTTGATTTTTAGGTGTTTGTAAAAGTTCTCTAAGTGGACTTACTAATTAGCATTTAGGCACCAAATTGATGCCTAAATTGAGATGAGTTTTTTTGCTTTGACAGATCATATTTGCGAGGTTGTGAACCTTAATTGCGATTTACGTGTTCAGGATCAGATAACGATTTAGTGAATGACCACACACATTAAATCAGCATGATACGAGTTTTTTCATGTTTACCAAATTGTTCTGATGCGTATCATGGGCGTAGACTTTTTGTCACTCCAAAACCCAAGCCCAGTATACAGTGCACGATCTTCATCGTACATGAAGATAGAGGTGTTTTTATCTGTCGAGGGCATGAAGGATGGGTTAACTATACTATAAATTTAGAATCAGGAAATTATCGAGTAAGGACATATAAGAGTTGAAAGAATGATGGAACCATAGATTTCCGCAATGTGCAAAGACCTCTTTCGTGGGGGTTAAACACCATTCAAACTATTCATATTTTGATACTGTTGCATAATAGCTTCATTGCTAATATTTTAAAGATAACTTTTCTGATAAAAGTTACCAAGCGGTCATTCAACATGCCATTTCTCATTCCATAGCGTGGTGAATTTTTTACTGTCTTCTTAACTGAAAATGCTCTTTCCGCAATAGTAGTGAGCGGAAAAATATTGGCCTTGTTTGGTAGTTAGCTGTTGTATGATTGTAATAGCTGTTTTGACCAGCGGATTATGTCAGCTGTTTTGACCAGCTGATAGTAATAGCGGTTTTCAAAAACATGTTTGGTAAAAGTAGCTTATTGATTCATAAAAATATATTTTGTATTAATTATTAACTTGGATATTATTTGGATATATAAACATTGATTATATTTATTTTATATTAACAAAAAATATTGTTGATATAATAAGTATTTTCAAATTATTTTTTAATATTTTTTATATTAAAAGTAATAGCTAAAACAATATATAATAACTTACAAATAAATGGTTCCATAATACTAAAATAATGTTTACAAAATTAACGACATGTAATATTCTTATTGTTATCATAAATGATTCTATGAAAGAATCTCATGCGTTGTATTATGTTAAATAATGGAGGTTAAAAAATAGATAATCCACACGGACCACACTACACTCAATGCAATTGTTTTGTTGAAATTTAAATATTAAAAAAATGGAGGTTAAAAAATGGAACATCTACACCACACTGAATGCTGTCTTGTTGATTTTTTAATAATAAAAATAAAGACCATCATCCACTTTCATTAGTTAGAAAAAAAAATGAAATATTTATCCAATATGCATAAGCTGTTGCAAAACGCTTCTATTTCTAGCGTTATCATTTTTAGCTTATCAACCAAACTAGTGCGTCATTAGTTAAAAAAAAATAAAAATAAAAAATTTATCCAATATGCATAAGCTGTTGCAAAACGCTCCTATTTCTAGCGTTATCATTTTTAGCTTATCAATCCAACTAGTGCGTGGCTCGTGCGATGCACGGGAAAATAATATTACGATTGTATTATAAATTAAATATACAAATAAATTAATCAAGATATATCCATCGTTTTTAAATTAAACCGTGTTGGACACAGTCCGACTGGATGGACCGAGAACATGTTTATAATCAGTCTAGGTCACTTGATTAAAAATATTTGCTATTGAATCAACACCAACCGGTTGAACTGGTTGGACCGATGCGATTTTCTAAATAAATTTGGTTATATTTAAAATTATTTTAAATAAAATTAGATATTTAAATAAAATAGAGATTTATAAATTGTTTATCAATTAATTTAAACATTTAAATTTTTAAATTGTTTAGATATTTAAGTAACATATTTTATTCAAAATTATTACAAAAACTATTACATATATATATATATATTAAAACGTATTTTTAAAGACAAAAAATAAATTGCATGATTTTTATAAATTAAATTGTATAATTATATTAAAGCGTATATATAAATTAAATTGTATGTCTTTTAAAGAAAAAAAATAAAAAAAATAATAAAACTACTATTTATGGGTAGCTTAAATGCTGACCTATTTTTTTGCTATTAATTTTAGTAAATATGATAGCTCTTTATATAAGTATAGATCAGCTAAAGCAAAAAAAAAAAGTCATTTAATCAAACACTAATTTTAGCTATTTTGACCAAATAAAAAAGCAAACTCCCTAAAAAGTTATTTTTTTCTCGAAACGCTATTAAACAAACAAGGTCAATCATCTTTTCATGTAGCAACCATCTTCTGAGCTAGACCTCCAATATTTTTCACGTCCGATTTTTTTAAACCGCACATAAAAAAAAAAAGTCTAGTTGATTTTCAATTTCATACAAATTAATGCTAGAAAATTCAAATGGATAGTACATTGCAAGGCCAAGTAACATCTCTTTATTGAATTTAGAAAATGAGTTTTAAGATCAAAACATGGCATGGATAGAAGTAGTTTCGTGTTCACCTTTATCGAAGCGATGAACTAGCTCTTGAGCTTGCAAATAGATCAACTCGATACTAGTAATGAATTTTCATCTTCTTACTTTGACACCTCGATCTTTCTCGAGCTGCATATAAATATTTCATATTCATTACAATTATCTCATGCTCATTGCAAAACTTTGAGACTTCAACAAACAAATCCCCTCAACCATTATCTTTCATCTCTTGGAGACGAGATTTTATCAATCGAACGAGATTCATTGCATTGAAAATGTCTTGATCTTTTATTTGTAGAACTTGAGATAACTCATGTGTTATGTTGTATCCCAGATTTACCGACCACAAAGTTCTCAAAAGGCACGACCCAAATATGAATCGAAGCCCAAAAAGAATAGGGAATCAGCCCAAGATGCAACACCTACTTCACAACCGACCCGAAGGCATAATACTAGGGTTATCGATCACCCGATCGACATACTGATCACCCTCGGAAGCTTCCTAAAGAAGATTGACGATCACCTTTATCGTCTGAACCAAAGCTGGCAAAGCTGATAGCACCGACCAAGCTATCCCGACCATTTTTGCATGAAACGAGTGGCGCCACCCTAGGCCCCTAGCTGACACTCCACATTTAATGCGCTATCACTTTTTTCTTGTATAAATACTAACCCCCGGGTCCAAAAGATGTAATCAATCAAGCAATTGATAAGCACACCTACATATACACTTCAAATTGATCTTCCGAGATAATACAATACATTTGGTTGTACACATACAATCATTTAATGAAAAATTTTGGAGAACCGTCTCTTTGCCAATTTCCACAGCCAATCAGCAACATCGATGTTTGTTTTGTTTACATATATATATATATATATATATATTTCGACCTCCCCATATTCCATACCACTAAAACACACCAGAATTATATTGTAACTCTCGATCAAACTGCCTTAAACATATTTACTGTAGCCGTTGGCTACCCACCATTAACAAAATGTCGCTAGAAGGAGAGCACCATCAAGGGTTACATCTGTACCTTGCTCTTATAAAAAGTTGTGTCCCGATAAGTTTTATTCACACACCTTTTCCCCAATCTTCTTCATAAAAACCTTATCGGATGGATGTTGGTAAAACTGACCTTTTCTTTTCTACCATCGGCCGGATGAATGGGCACAACTGACCCCACCGCCTCTGATTACTCATTTATTCCTCCCCGCAAAATATTCAGATACTTGCATCTTGTCTCCCCTCCTTACAAAAATCGTATATATTCTATTGCCTTTGAAGAAACTCTCATATTAGCCCACCTTCGACATGAATACGGATCAGTTAGACCACCCTCGACAAGAACATGAGGGTGAAAGGTTCGCCGATCCTCGTAATCACGACCCTCTCGAGGCCAGGGGCTTCAGGAACGATCCAACAAAATGTCCCCATGAAATATGACCATATGCTCTCCTTAGGCCTAAAAAACCCAAACCCATCTATCAACCTCGTAATGGTTGGGCAACCATTGAGATATCCTAGTTATGATCGCTCGACTAGTCTAATGTCATGCTGGGTTGGTACTATGCGCCCGAGGGCTAGACCAGGCTACGACCTGCAGAAAAAACCTCAAACACATGTCGAGATCAACCATCAAAGTCAGTCGAGACAACAAGTCGCTTCCGTTATCGACAGCGATCCCACAGATCGACACAATTGCACCTGATAGTGATGCTTCTTCAGATATTTCTGTACAATATCATCCCATGACAAGAGCATTATACATAAATTTTCTGCTGATCGCCAACCGTCATCATCGATCTCACTGGAAAGAGTTGATATGTGCAAAGATTCCCCCATAGGACGTTTTCGGCACAATATCCTCATGTGGAAGAACGATAAACCGATCAGCCTTCATTTTTGCAAATAGGCGGCTAAGCCGATCTACAACAACGACACCATAAACAACAAAGAAGGTTTTTCTATCATGCATATCTTGATTGGCAAACTTTTTATACTAGATATGTATAGGTCGACAAAGTTACACATGTTCAAGCTATTAGTCTTGTGTACTTTTCACATAAAAATGTACTCTTGCCTCTTTTATATGATCGTCGCCCTTGTGTTGTATATGCGATCGCAACACTATAATATTTTAGAGAATCACTATCTTGTCGATCGCCACATATAAAATTCAAAAAACACATTACGATATCGTGATGTCTCAAGCAAGAAACGAGCATACACAAGGCAGACGTCCAACGATCTTAACATGAAGTGAGTATACTTCGACAAATTGATGAAAAGGAAATCTCCTAAAAAATATTTCAGCCTTTCAACAAATTAAAGGCGATTCAACCCATCAATAAGAAAACAAAACCCATACAAGGTGGGAGCGATATCCATAACGGCACTTGAGTCAATCGACAATAAAATCCTTATAACATGATGATCTTTGCATAAATACTTGCGATGTTCCAAGATCTTTTCTTTACAACAAGACAGTCTCATAAAAT